ACTTATGTTGTTAGTTATTTCTGTTAATTTTTACTGGACCTTTGCTGATTAATAAGGAGAGCTGAAAATTTAGAGATGAGTTTATAGAAAATGGGCTGAGGTATGGAATGGAGATTTGGTTGTATTTTAAGAGACAGTGGTAAGTTATCAACATTCAACATACTTGCTGGGAACGAAGGGAGAAGTTCCTTATTCTTTCCTTCTTTTTTTCTTCTATGGGGGGATTATTTTTTCTGCAGTTTAATATTTTTTCTCTTTTTTAATATATTTTTGCATTATGTTCTTGTACTAGTTTTACCTGTTTAATATAATTCTTAATAAAATTATTGGAAAAAAAAGAAATTTATGGAAATCACCAATGTTGAACACAGAGGTTCAAGAGAATTCAGTGTGAAATCGCACTATTCCAATTTGATTCTAATTTGATTCTCTTCTTCTAGGGCTTCTATCAAAATCAGGATTTCCTCACTATAAAATATTAACTTTGCATAACTAAGGCAGAAAGATGATGTTATTAGTGACCACTTTTGGCAATATTCACTGCATTTATCCCAGGACCGGAGAAAAATGGCCTCCACTGAATTATGAGACTACAGAGGTGGTGAGGGGGCAGGGGGAAGATACAAACCCTTCCATCTCTAAACAATATAGCCTGATTTGAGACCCAGCCTCTTTATCTAGCACTCATCTAAAGTTACATTTTTCGGTTTGGCTAGCATAAAATACTATATAGAAGACTTTCTTTTATTAGAAAGTACCTGCTCAAAACTAGCTCCACAGTTAGATTAAAATTGCTGCTAGCATGTGTTTTGAAAAGGAGAATTGGTCTCATCTCCTCTGCCCCATTAGCTGTCTCAAACTGAAAGTACTTGGCACCTAGCTGGTCTGCCTATCACTTCCTATTGATAGCTGAAAATGCAAATATCTACAATCTCTAGTTATGAAAACCAAGGAGCACAGTGAAAATTTTGGACTAAAATTAAATATGAAGAGGATCAAACTAATTGAACAGGTAGAACAACCAGCCTTAGAACTGACAATGAAGATCTACCACTTTTAGGATTGACTATCAACAATTAAGGAAGGAGCTGTGAAGAAATACAGACTTAACACTTGGTAGAGTAACCATGAATGCCTTGGAAGATATTCAGATGCCTGAATTTGAATTGTGCAGGCAATAGTTTTCCCTGTGACACTCTATGGAAGCAAATGTTGGACTTTGAAGAAGCAGGATAGGAAGAGCATTGATGCTTTTGAACTTTGGTGTTGGAGAAGATTCCTGAGAATACCATGGACAGCCAAGAAAACCAACAAATGGATCATCCAATAAAGCTACCCAGAGTTCTCACTCAAGGCACAAATGACCAGGGTCAAATGATTAGACTTTGGACACATTACATGATGACTTAGCTCTCTGGAGAAATCTATAGTGCTGGGAAAGGTAGAAGGAAAGAGAAGAGGATGACCATCAGCAAAGGGATGGATTCAGTTAGTAGCAATAGGTGCACATTGGGAGACCTGAATGACTGGGTTAGGGACAGATCCTCCTAGAGAAAATCTATTTATGTGGTCACTAGAGTTGACAGTGATTTGATGGCACATAATCAATCAATCAATCAATCAATCAATCCTTCTTATGTTGCTTTTATGGTGACACTGTGGTTTTTCCAATATCCTAAAACTACTATCCTAAACATCCCAGCGAACGTATGTATACATTTGGGCTTTGCACATTCACTTCAAAATCTTTCACATCTAATCTTGCTTTAGTCTCAGTCTTTGCATTTTTCTGCCTTTTGTCAATTGGATTAAATAGATTTTCTCCTCAAAAACTTATGCTGCAAAGCATATTAATCATTATGACATTACACAAGCTATTTTAATGAGAAAGCTGACAATTCTAATTTAGTATTAGAAAATCTGAACATGAAGATATTAATTAGTTCAGGATGTAAGTTGCAATCGAGGTATATTGTTCTGTTACCTGATGAATATAATAGCTACACCAGCAGAAGCTAGTTCAGAATATGATCCAGACATTATGTTGCCAGTACAGACAAGTTATGTAATATATCTACAATTATATTTATAGTGCAAACAAAGCTTTCAACTGCATCCACATTCGTTTTCATCTAAGGGTTTTCCAAGGGCAAAACACAAATATAGTTTGCTTAATCATATTTTTGCTTTCTCAGCTTCCTGCATACTCTAATCACTGGATTAGTGATTAGAATAAAACAAAACAAGCAAACAACAAAAAGCAAATTATTAACAGGCTAGCTGTCTGTACTGATTTAGGGATAATTTTATGTAGAGGAGCAGATTAGTCCTACTTTCAGCAGCATTCTGAAATAAGCTGATTAAGAATCAAAGGACAAGGAGCCTTATGCTCCAAAGCAAGAGAGCATCACATAAAACTTCAGATACTATGTAGTCCCTAAAGATGAAAGCATTTCTACAGTTAAAAATGTGAACATTGAATGTAGATTACCATGCACACCAATTCACATTAAGGATGCCAGGTGGAATGAGTGAAAGAAGCTATGTATGAGAAATCATGCATACAAGGGAATGATCGCTGCAAAAATGATAAGGGAAGCATACAATGTGTTTGAAAGCAAAGAATAATGGCAAAGAATGTAATCAAAGAAGGCACAGAAAATGCAAAGCTATTTTGATAGAAAATATGTTTTCAGAAAAGGGCTATACAAGGAGCCTCCAGCAGAACGAATAGCAATTACAAATGGAAGCGATGAAAAGACTGGGGATGAATCTGAAATGAGGAAATCCTGACAGAGATTTCTATGAGAATGATATGGTGAAAAGTAAATAGAAATTCTATGTTAGTATTTACGAAAAAATGGATGAAAAGAATAAATAGGGTGGGACTGTTGAAAAATGGCAAGGCTGATATGTAAGAGCTGTATCTGGAGAAACGTTAAATATGGATGTGGTTTTCTTATGAAATAGCTACGCAACTTCAATGTGTGTGAAGACTGCATCTATGCCTGGCATTTGGAGAAAGTGTTGCTCCCCTACACAAAAGGACAGATCACAAGAGTGAGTGCAAAAAATACAGGGGGATTCGTTTGTTAAACGTGCCTGGGAAGTGTTGGGTAGAATTGGAATTGAAAGTCTATGAGAGTTGGCAATCAAGAAAATTTGGAAAGTGCAGTGTGGCTTTATGGATGAACATCACAGCAGGTGTGATATTTATCAAACATTTAGAAAAAGCATATAGGCTTAAAATATCAAATGTTTGGTGAAAGCGGAGCTGAAGGTTAATTGATAAATACAGTAAGAATAATATATGATGAAAGCAAAGTATGTATGAAAATTGCTTACCAAATGAATTAATATGGAGCAGGAACGCAGACATATTGTTGTCCCCTTGGTGGTTTAATGTACTTCTGAATAAATGTACAAGGAATGCTTTTGGTGATTAGAGGCATGTTGGTTGGGGATGTGAATGTGCCGCAGATGACACTGTTGTAAGCTGAGAACCCTAGTGCAGCAAATGTTAGATTCTATGCATATGGATCTGAATATTCATGTATAAAGTCCAAGATCGTTGTGTTGGACAGGGAAAATGGCGTGAATGATTGCAAGTTAAACATAAATGCTGCAAAACAAGAACAAGTATGTGAATGTCTTTCTTGGTAGAATGTTAACTAAGGATGAGAAAATGAAGAAACTTTAAGATATGCAAATGCTGGGTAGAAATGTATGATCAATGCATGGTTGAGGAAAGAATGTTTGTCAAAGGAAGCAAAAATGGCCATAAGAACATTCTCCTGCCTACTCTGCTATGTAGGAGTGAGTTGGGTATATCAGGAAAAACAAAAGTTGAATAGGGTACTTAAGTATGTACAGTAAAACAAGAAGGAATGCAGACTGAAAACAACAGTGAGGGACCAGTTATGAAACATGAAGTGTTTTAGACACACAGAATGAATGAAGCTCAGATTTCAAAACAAATACATGAAAGGTAGATCAGTTGAAAGAGGAAGACTAAGAAAGTCATGATGGATGGACTTGAGATCCTCAGAGAGATGAGAAGGTTAAGAACAAAAGGCAATAATGAAGTGGCATGGGGTGAAAAAAGGGGCAACCAACCCTCGGGGTGGCTAGCACCTTGAAGATGCTCCCATATGTTAACATCTTACGGACCATCAACATCTTGGAAGATATTATTTGTGTATGTGTTTGGTTTTTATTCTATTTTTATTGTATTTTATATTGTTTTATTGTATTTTGGAAGATATTATTTGTGTATGTGTTTGGTTTTTATTCTATTTTTATTGTATTTTATATTGTTTTATTGTATTTTGGAAGATATTATTTGTGTATGTGTTTGGTTTTTATTCTATTTTTATTGTATTTTATATTGTTTTATTGTATTTTGGAAGATATTATTTGTGTATGTGTTTGGTTTTTATTCTATTTTTATTGTATTTTATATTGTTTTATTGTATTTTAATATTTATTGCTGTTTTATTATGAACCACCCAGAGTCACTTTTTGTGAGATGGGCGGTATCTAAATTTGAAATATAAGAAATATAAATGGGGAGAGGCAGATACAGTGGAGGCAAGGACAGAAAGATATGCAGAAATATAATGAATGCTGGTATAAAATAGATTTAGCTGTATTTCGTTTTTCTTATCTTGTGCCTTAATTTTGCTGGGTTACTATTTCTTACACTTTTGTTCTTTGCATAATACTGATTACTATGAAAGTTAATACTACTATGGGTATATGCATGTATGTACATAGAATGCATATACACAAAGAAAACATAACTGGGCATGTTGGAGTAGTTCTACCATTAACAAAGTAGACTGATACAATTATCATTATAAACTGCCCAGAAGGTTTTTTTCTTATGTAGAAATTATTCGCTAATATTAAATGGCCAGTGATAGTCTCCATTAAGGCTTTGGTTATATCGCTAGTGATCAGCAGAAATAAAAATATCAAGAAAATATAATAATGCAAGTTTTAATGTTATAGCAGAGTAGAAACAATAGATGTATCATAATTATTTTCTGGCTTCAGAAGGATTTCTGCAAAAAAAAAAATTATACCCATGAAAACATAAGAATTACCCATGCTAGAAAGCATCTGTTTTATAACTTAATCCTATGCAAGTTTATTCAGAAACAAGTTTCAGCTCAATGGGACTGACTTCCCTTTTAGTGTACAAAACTGCAACCCTACACACTCTTTATCCTGGGCAATAGAACTGTGTTTTAGGCTGCAGTCCTACCATCTATGATGAAATTCATCTTGATCTATGCTTCTCCTTAAATCGGGCTACAAATTTGTAGAGAACTCAGAGTAGCAGTTATTTGAAGAACATGGTTCTGATTTTGAAAAATACAGTTAAATTGTCCTTATGGCTCACTATAAGAGTTTCTCTTCTCTATAGAAGTTGGTATCAATCCTTCTTTGCAGTCCAATTCCTGAGAGTCATTTAGAAATTCCTTTCTTCTCCATAATAACTAAGATACAGAGGACACATAACCCACCTAACTGGTTTCTTGGGATCCCTGTATGACATACCATTCTTAGCCAGTAAAAAGTTCCTACAGACTACATCTCCTATAGCACAGCAAAAGCAGTTACCAAATTTCTCTGTGTTGATATGAGCATAAGTCAACATCACAAGCAGAGACCAAATCTAGGTACTCATTCAGAAAGGTAGAAAGAGTTTCATTTCAAATCTCACACAAGTTTTAATTGTTTTCTTCAGCCCTGGAATGTAATGTTATGTGCTATACTCACTGCAGACTACATAATTTGTATAAAATAAACGATGTAAAAAGGTTGTTGCAGTGACAGGTCTTTATCAACACCATTCATTCTGAGTGACATATCCTTATCAACAAACTCGTAGGTCATTTTCCAGCCCATATATCTTTGATTTTAAGTTTTTAAGTTCTCCTTGTATCTTTTTAGTTCTCTTATTTCCTTGGCGAACTTCATGTAGAATTGCAAGATCTTGGTCAGGGCCCACAGTCATTACCACCTAGAAAGGAAAACAATTTCAAAGAAAGGATAAACAGGTTTGAAAGCAGTTTGAGTTTAGAAAAGGAATATAGAGCAATTTTGGGTAGATTTTATTGACTGATTAATTGAAAGGACTTATATGGCTGTCCATCTTATGTACAATAATCTTGGGTGGCTCACAAAAACAGCAGTAAAAACATAACAAGAAACAACAGAGCCACCATCAAAAGGCAATTCCCAGAGCCCAAAAAACCACATTAACATTTAACAGTTATTGGGCTCCAACCACTCCCTAACCCAATGCTTGGGGAAACAACCAGCTATTTAAGGCCTTCTGGAAGGCTAAGAGGGTGTGGGCCTGCCGGATCTGGAGAGGGTGTTCCATAGGGCAGGGGCTGCTGTAGAGAAGGCACACTTCCTAGGTCCCAGCAGATGACAACATTTAAAGGAAGGGAACTGGAGTGCACCCACCCTATCTAACCTGGTGTAACCTTGGGTAGATACCCTCAGGGAGAGTCAGTCCAACAAATAACTTGGCCCTGAAGGTGATAACCAGCACCTTGAATTATACCCCGGAAAAAAAGGAAGCCAGTGCAGCTCACACAGCAATATAGGCAAACTGCAGGGCACCCAGAAGTGCATGGGCAGCTGTATTCTGGCCAGTTGTAACTTCTGAATGGTCTTCAAAGGCATCCCCATGTAGAAAATGTTGCAGTAATCCAACCACGAAGTGACCAGAGCATAACTGACTGTGACCAAGGTGTCCTGGTCCAGGAATGGCAAAGTTGGTGCACATGGTGGATCTGTGCAAAGGTCCCCCTAGCCATGGCTGCCACCTCAAGCAGGAGCCCCAAGTCAGGGCAGCCCCCAAATTTGGCACATGCTCTGGCTGGGGGAGTGCTACCCTGTCAAGAATCAAAGGTGACACCACACCAGATTGTGGGGTGGGGGGGAGTGGTGCAAAAACCAGATCCACTATGTCATGCCATGGTTGAATCACAGTTGGTTTCTTTCCATCCAGACCCTCACAACCTCCAGGTATTGGGTCACAACCTGAATGGCACTGCTGGCCAGGGGTGAAGATGTATAACTGGTTATTATCAGCATACTGATGATACTGCATCCCATATTGTTGATGACCTCCCCCGGCAGTTTCATGCAGATACTAAAGAGGAGTGGTCAGAGACATGAGTCATACCACACTGCAGGGGCCTTGGGCTAGACCTTCCCCCCAACACTAGGAGGACTAGAATTTGCAACTTCCCTGTTCCTAATCCAGTGCCTTTAGCCACTACACCAAATTTGCTCTTGGTAAAACCACAGTCAAACCTAAAATAGATTCAGCTAATGGTTCTTTCTGAAGTTTGGAAATTTGGTCACAAAGCATTATTTCAGAGGAATTAATTCCATTTTAATCCTTTCTCCTGACAAAATAATACCTTGAAAAGTTGCTTCTCTACATTCTGCAGCCTTTGTTGGAGTTGTTTAATGTCAGTTTTAAACCCTTCTACTTCCATGGCACGCCTTTTTTCCAGTGCCTCATAGCGCTGGGTCATTAGCTGTAGCCGTTTCCCCATCTTTTCTGACCGTTGCTACAAATGTGGAAGCAAAACATAAGATTATAATGTAATAATCACATTTTTGTGAGCAGTTCTCAGGATAAGATTAAGGAATGAGGTACCATAGTTTGTCAAAGTTGTTGCAAGAGCAGCAAAAGGTACCTACCTTGAAGATCTCTCGACCTAAATCTCCTTCCTCCCGAATCTTAGCCAACTCCTCTTCCAATGAAACACACTGCTCTCGATACATGTTTGCTAATGTCTGCTCTTGTGTCAATCGATCTTGTAATCCCTGGAGGTGAGATAAAAAACCTTATTTGGGCATCTTAAGCAGCTGGAAGAAAGTACAGAAGCTATGAATGGTCACATCAATAATTAGGAGAAAACAGTGATTGGCAAGAAACTTTTAACACCATTTCAATGTGCCACAGCATCACAGTGTTGAAGTTTTATGGCATTATATCTAATTTTCAGAAATATTTAATCTTCTACTACTCTTCAATAGCCATTACCTTAATCTTTGCCCCATATACTTTATAAATGCCATGCTCTGCTTGAGAAACACGTCTGGCAGCTTTCGGTTTCCTCTTCTTGAAGACTTCAACCCTCCTGCAGGGTGGCGATCTCTTGGTGAAACTCTGCTGACATGGACTACTTTCCCTCTCATCCGGGCTAGTGTCCTGCTGCTCTGGGCTAGTATCCCTCCAGCTCTGACCACTTTCCTGACTTCGATTGATGTGGTCCTGGACCAGACTGCTGTCCTGACAAATCCTGCTCTGTTTGGGTGCACATTTACATTTGTCCATCTTCCTCAGCAGAGTGTCCTTCTCTGCCATCCAGGATTTTTCATTTGCTCGTGCATCAAACTTCATCTGCAGAAAATCTCTGGTACTCTCATATAGCAAATTTTGAGCTTTGTGGTATCTGGGGAGAGGCATTTCAATTAATTAGTAATTTACTGGCCAATTCATACTTTAACCCCACTATGAGGGTGAATCAGGGTGTGGAACAGGAAGCAACAGCTTCAATAGATCAGTATGTCCTAAGTTGATGTCTGCATGGGTGCTTTGTCACCATGTATCCTGGCTTTGCATCTACATGGATTGGATCCTAACCCAGGTTGGATTAGTCATCTGATCCAATACTCTCTACCCTGATTTGTAGCAGCTCTCCAGGATTGCCAGACAGAGGTTTATCACAGAACCCAATATCAAGACCTTTTCTTTGGGAATGGTGATGATTGAATTTGGAACTGATTATCCATGTAACAGCTAGGCTCAGTTATAATGTTATGGACTTTCTCCCAAGTAAAAACAATATCTAGAAGGAATACTTTACAAAACAATCCATCCCACACATACCACAGCAAAGGGTCAAACCAGGAACATCAGATTGAAAAATATTGTATTCTGCTCAGGTCAGAATAAAATGCTTTTACAACCCCTGCCCCATCCAACACATCATTCTTTTTAGTATGTGAACTCAACTTTTGCACCTACTTTTCAGTAATGTCTTTGATCTTCTCCTGATCCCTCTGATGCTGCACCTGAGTTTCTTCAATACGGATGCGTCGATCCTCTAGCAGTGCTTCAATCTGCTCCTTTGACAACTTGGTCTGTTCTTCTAGTTGAGCCTGAAGAGCTTCCACCTGGATCCACAAAGAGAAAAACCTGAAGAATCTGCTACAGTGCAAATAGGGCTTTCCCTTGCAAATAGCCCTATTTTTTTACAGGTTTTAAGCAGTTTGGTTCAGTGGTTAAGGTGTTGGACTAGAAACTGGGAAACCATGAGTTCTACTCCTCCCATAGGTACAGAAGCTGGCTGGTTGGCTTGGACTCTCTCAGTTCAAGCCACTGTTGTGGGGAAGATAGGAGGAGGGAGCATTATATGTTCTTTTTTGGAAAAGTATCATAGTTGTTTTTCCAACTACTAAATGTTAAAGATAAAATGATAAAAAATAAAGTGATATAATTCACCATTAATTATTTGCTCTTTCTTTTGACCATACATTCCCAGATTTGCTACCCCTACTCCCAACTGCACTCTCCTTGTCTGCCTCAATATTTGCACACCCACAATACTTTGAACAAGAATGAGGGGAAAGCGTTGTTTGCAGCAGGCAACTCACTCTTGTAATAAAGCTGGCAAACTTGCCAGGTTGGATTGTACAAGGACCTTAGCCTGGAAGAAAAGTGGGGTGCCCTCAAAACTCCTTCAATGATTCTGACCAGTTAGTAGCATTAGGGAATAAAATAGTATTAAGGTGAACCCTGAGTGACTTTTCCAGCTAGCTGATTAGTGTAAAAAGGTGTGGTAACATACATCTACATAGCTGAATTCTGATGAAAGAATGACATATCTAGCAGGAGGAGAGCTGCATAGAAATAACTCCTGAGTCATGAATTCTTCCTCCTGGACAATTCCTTTTGTCAGTCCAATGAAAAAGTCAGAACTCTTGGGGCTATTAACCTGTCAGATTTTTCTTGGTGGATACCAGAACTGGAAGTTTCCCCAGTGAGCAATTCAAGGCTGTAGATCTCTTAGTCCTCCAATTGCAGAACCAAGGCAGCATCTCAGCAACTGTTGAGTCTAAAATACAAGTTCTACTAACAGATCTAGATTCAGTTCTTGCACCATTTTCTTCTGCTCACATATTGCCAAAAGTTGTAAACCTCATGCTTTTGAGTGGGAAGAATGGTTGCTAATGGTCCCATTATGGTAAGGGGCTAGCCTAATTTCAGCCTATTTGCTTCTGTCCTTGCCAGAACTATCTCTCATGTGACCGCTTTTGCAATCTTTTGTTCATGCCTGAAGGAAAGCAATAAAACAAGCCAGCTGCCTGGTAAACCTGTTCCTTTGTGTCTTCCTAATGTTCTTTTGTTAGGTTCTACCACTTTCTCTTTTCCCCACTTTTCCCAGGGGGGCACACCTGAACTAGAACAGATTAATACCTAATTAACTGAACACCAGACCTGTCTGTAATAAATCCAACCTTGTCCACAAAGAAATAGTGGATTAGAGGGAAGACTGGTATCCATCACCCAAACCTGGCTAGATGAAAGTACCCTTCACTAAGATCTGTTTAACTGGGGTTCAGTCAAGACCCCAATGCAGAAGAGACAAAGTGTCAATTGTGTATCACCATGAAGTATCACAATGTTCATTACCATACACATATTCTTTAACTCCTTCTTGTTAGAAGAATTGATGCTGAATTTGATGGACCTTAATCCAGACCAGCATGGTGATTCTAGTTTTTCATATATTACTACCAATTACCTGTAATAAGAGTGTTTGGTTGTCTCTTTGGTATCTATCTCCACTTTCAGGCTTCTCTCCTTTATTTTTTAAGGCAGAATTTTTAGTACCTACAGAGAAAATAATTTTAATTGATAAGATGTTATCCCATTCCTTTTGTTTTATTAATCTGAAAGGTTTCCCTTGAGGTAATGTTTTAAGGCTACAGTAGTCAGCAGAATGGAACCATGCACTTACTATGAAAATTCTTTTTCTGTAGTACATCAAGAGTACCCTGAAAAATAGGTTTCTCTTTCCACTTGCTCCGAAAGGAAAATTAAAAAATGTGTGACAATGCCTGGAATAGGAGGAAGCACCTCTCTCTTAAAGTTACAGGATAAAAAAAGTCAAGAGGAAAAAACAATCAGAATAAAAAACACAAGATAGTTCTTCCCCATGATAAAAACTATTATCATATTATGGAAGAACTAATATCCTCCATCCACTGTAGAGAAATAACTTTCACAATCAGTCCTGTTTCTATTTTCCTACTGTGGAAAGAGGCATCCTGGAAACTGAGACATATTAACACAGTGTCCAGGAAGGAGCCAGGTGGGGTGGGGTGGACTGCAAGAACTTTAGTAATTTAGGAAGGAAGACAGAGTGTAACATATTTGCATATAGCAATTATGGGAACCCTATTAAGATAAAAAAAATGCCTGAAGTAACTACACCACCCCTTATAGAACTGGTCACAACTCTCTCCAGAGCAGCGACAGAGCTTCCTAAGAGAGGAAACACAAGAGTGGATGCAACATGTCTGGAAACCTTGCCATAAGATGATCACCTAAAAAGAAACAAATAGCTTTAGGAAGAGTACATAGGTTTATTGCTTTTTGAATAGGAGATAAGAAGGTTGGACCACTCTGACTCCGAACTAAATCTGATGTTCCTGGACATTGTGGAAACAATTAACTTCATCTAGCAGGCTGAGCCAGTCAATGAAATTCCTGTCCAATATGTCTATATCCCATAGAGTGTGGGATATTTGATGTCAGATATCATCTAGAAATAGAATCTCATCCTTGTGAGTGGGGGAATACCGAGTTGAAATCTTCTCATAATGCAGACTGAGTGTTTGCAGAGAATGGAATGCCCTCATAGAACAAAGTTTGAACTAAGGGTCAAGAAGAATGCAATGTTATCCTGGTTGTCTAAACTGCATTCTGGTGGATTTAATTGTGAGCTGTTAACTTATATATCCAGTCCTGCAAGCCAGAATGGCACATATTGTTTTGGGTCTCAGAATCTTACAAAATGTTTTACAATATTTCTAGAAAATATAACTTCGTGTGTCAACCTGACTGTCTCTAGAAAATGAAAATCAGATGCAATGTTAAAAAAGAATACAGGTAACACCATTTGCTTTCCTGAATCAGCTGGACAGCAACTTACATATATAACAGTTGCTACCATAAAAATATCTTGTTGAAATATACTACAGATGTTTCCTCTTCTACTTCTTGACTCCAAGTACCCATACTTGTAATGAAAATTATTTTCTATGTATCTCCCCCTAATAGAAGTTTCTTTTAGAAGATGAAAGCTAGTATTAATATGCACTGAAAAAGAAACCCACAGAATCAAAGCAAAATTTAATTTGTAGGGAAATGTTTTATTTTGAATGTGCAAGCTGGAAAGGGATTACAAATATCAGACACTTAATGAATTAGATGTTAAATATATTTAAATTTCCTTAAATATAAGGAAATCACGCAGCTATCAGTAGAGAATTTCTCCAGAAACCCCTTCCTTCTGTCAGATAATATTTAAACATCTCTAAAAAAAACCTTATGAAAATAAATAATTCTCTGAGCCTCTGCAAAAGGGGGAAAAGGTAAGTTAGTCTCAGACTATAGGCATACATTCTATATGTTATATTATTATTATTGTTGTTGGTTGCACAGTCACCCAAATTTAGACTGGATTTGGCATTTTTATCCACCTATCAAGTCCTTCCTAAGGACCTGGGATAGACAGATATTGTTGTTTGATGGTATTAAAGGTATCATTGCAGGTTGTAAGCTATTCCAAGTAAAGCTGCCTTTTGCAA